ATCTTCGGCAGTGAAGGGCAGCTGGGAACTTCATCGTCTTGCTCCTCATCAATCCACTCCGGATACAACGAATCCCAACTCACGTTACGATCTGCATACTCTATCTGCAGACCCATATGGTTTGCTCCAGGAATTGCCTCTTTCCATTTCCCCATTTCAGTCTTGTTGAAGTTGAGAAGCCCAACTCCTTGCAGCTTCTCTTTTTCTCCCAACTTCTCAACAACTCTAGAGATTGCACTCCAATCAATGTCTAAATTCGATACATATCTAGGATCTGATAAACCCCAAATCCACCTGTTCACAATTCAAGTTCATCCCGGCCTGCATTATTATTATTATATACATACATACATATATAAAATGAGAGTGTATGCAGTATATATCGTACCGAGAAACAGTATGGGTTGCATAATGGTTGTGGCGACAGACGAGTGGGGAGGAGATAACCATAAAGAAGGTGGCAATTACAATACAAAGTAGCACCAGCTTTAAGGCAAGGAGCTTCAACCTTGCTGCCTTTTTCGAAAATGGAAATGGGAATTGGAAAGGCTTCTTCATCACTTCCTTAACTTTGATTTTCTTTAGCTTTCTTTTATATGCATCTTCTCTGAAACACACACACACACACATATATATATATATATATGTATCAGTTTTATTAAAGTTTTCAAAGTCAAACACAATGATCAGATCACAAAAAAAAAAAAAAAAAAAAAAAAAAAAATCAAAGTATGCAATTTAGTTGATCTAATCTGTTGTACCTAATCTTGTAAGAGTTCAAAACAATTATATTCTATCTCTAGCTAGCTAGCTAATCCCATTTTCTGTATGCTCTAACCCTCACCTACCAATTCAAAATATAATGCTCGATTCATTGATCATTTCTCAAGATTTATTCATGAAAACATACAGGAATGTATAGTATTATGAGCATGCTAAGAAAGAAGTACTCACAGTGATCTTGCTCTAGCTTCCATGAGATTATATATGATCGAATTGGGTCCGGTGATTAGGTTGTGATGGATGAAACAAACATGGGATATGATAGAGCTTCGATTCGTTCAACACAATTGAATTGAAGAAGAGAAATGAAGATGGAGATGAGGATAGAAGAGAACTGAAACTTAGTTCATGCACTGCACATATATACATCCAAATGAAACAAGATCAGAAGATCAGAGTGTTTCCATTATAGAAAAGATGGTGTCATAAAGATGGGAAGTATAAAAGGAGTAGAATTAAAAGCATATTATATTGGTTGCATGAAATATAATTAAAGAGAATTCATCACCTTTCTTTAAGCTGCTAAGGATTCTTTTAATCTGGGCAGGGCAGGGGAGTGATCTGAGGATAGGGACAGAACCCTTTAATTTGCTTTCAACAAAACACAAAGGCTCATAATGGATCGGAGGAGGAGACTCAATCCAATATAGACACACACTATTGTAACTTCTCACACAATTCTTAAATATTAAATTCTAAATATATTTATTTATATATATGCTTAAGAAGTGTTGTATATTTTTGTGTTCAATGTGAGATGTCTTTATTTTCACCAACTTCTTTGCTTCAAATATTCCACTTTGACAACTTCCAAGAATATAGAAAAAGATGCCAATGTTTATCTCCTTTTTTTCCTCTCAACTTACTTAATCTATTTTTTTTTTTTCACTCTAGCCCTCTAGCTACCAGTCTACATCCCATCCTTTTTATTCCCATTATTATTATTATTATTATTATTATTATTATTATTATTATTATTATTATTTTGGTTCTTTTGTGTGTGTGCATACACTTAAGCATGCTTAATCCACTTACTTTATATATATGATTATTTTTTCTTTTCCTCTTTACAATAAATAAAATCCAATGTAATAATATCTCAAGCCATAATTACAGTTAGTAATACACATATGTAACACGGTAACAGAAACTAATTTATAGAAATCACTATTTTGGTCCGTCAGTTATTTTTTAATTGTTAATGTAGTCTCTAATTCTTAATTTCAACTAATTTAATTCTCGAATTGTTTAAAATGTCGTCAATTAAACATTTCGATGATCAAATTGATGAAATTTTTTAAAAATGTGGAAATCACCATTTTGGTCACTTGGAAGGGTTTAATTAATGAAATTTTAAACGATTTGAAGATCAAATTAGTTAAAATTGAAAACTAAGAACTATATTGACAGTTGAGAAATAATTGAGTGATCAAAATGATGATTTTCCTACTCTAAAATATAAGAGTAATCTTTTCTTTTTCTTTTTCTTGATTTCACCAACTTCATTCTCCAATTGGGGAAGGAAAAAAGTGGAAAAATAAAGATAAAAATATTTATATATAAATTATTTTTCATACTAAAAAAACTCTGAGGGGGCGTTTGGTTTAGGTTATATTTGCTTGGTAATATAAGATTCTCATGTTTGGTTCAAGTTATGTAACTTTCTCATGGAATGTCAGATAACCTACGCATTATGTTTTTAATTTTTAGTTCTCAGGTTACCTCCAATTCCTTAGGTAATCTCATATTCCCTTGTCTTATTAATAATGTTGGGTTTTAGACGTTTTAATCAATTTATTTTATTACCGTTACCTTATTTACATATCTTAGTTTTAAACCAAACACATGATTCTAACATTCCCAGTAATCTAACATTCCTAGCAATCTAACATTCCCTAAGGTAATCTAACATTCCGTGAACCAAAGGGCCCTGACTCTTTGATTTTAAAGGTAAAGTCCGGTGGAGACTCTTTCTATTGTGATTACTATTAATTTAAGAGATCATTGGTTTAATTATATGAATAACCAAAATGGTGAATTGGTGAGTATTCGAGCATTCGTATCAAATTTAGTGTTGACGTGTATAATCTAACCAATACTTAATTACTCACAAAATATTATTAGAACAATTTTTTCTTTAATTTTTTTTCTTTTTTCTAATCAATATTTTTTTAATGGCAATAATGAGAATGGATGAGTTGACCTGAATGTGTCCTTGAGGACTCCCATATATATGCATATCCCTGAGACACTGACCAAACAACTAGGGCAAAATAAACCTTAATTTAAAAAGACAAAAAACAGTTGGAAGGTATAACTATAAACCTTACTAATAATGTATAATAAAAAAAATAATTGATGTTTTTCCCCAAAGGGCTGGATTAATATATTGTATTGATGCTTTAATTTCTTAATTGAAGGGAGGAGCTGCAGATGGGATTAGGTCAATGAAAACAATGTGTTTTAGTTGCAGTTTATGATGTGAAATCTGTGATTAATAAGTCTTATCTTCCCTAAACCAAATGGAGAAAATGTAATCATTTTGTGTTGTTAGTACAAACTATAATATCATATTAAAACACAATTAACATGTTAACAACTTATTTAGTTTTAATTTGTGTGAGTTGGTTTGCCAGCTTCCTGTCTGTCGCACCGTCTGTGGAGTGGTCCATAACATCATTTAGTTGCACTGATGCCTACTCAACATCATATTTTAACCAAGTCAAACTCCAATTCAATCTGTTAATGAATGTGTACACTTATTCTATGTAGGTATGTATATATGAAAAATACAACACAACAACTTCCTATATTGTTTAATTAATGAAACAAAGGCCAATCTCACCCAAATTGGTGACTGTTGGCTTGATAACTACAATTCGATATTTGCAGTGGGAGCGGACTATTAGTCTTCTTGGTCTGAATCGTTCAGTTTTGGACAACTTAAGTTAATATACTTTATTGTGATCCTTTACTAGTTAAGGTCACCATACGGGATTTACCCAATGAATATCCTAGCTTGGAAAATGGCTGCGGGTTTCTTTGCAAGATATATGCTGTAACTTATTGAACACTTGGTTCATCCAATACTTTGTCAATGGCTCAGTTATAAGACCACAAAGAGATAAGATTGAAATTATAATATACTTTTTTCAATTATTAAAAATAATGATGAGATAAGGCTATTGGAGCTTAAGATTGAACCTATATAAGCAATCTACTTGTCACTTGGACAAGTGCATGCTTGTTTGAGACGTACAAAAATGGATAGTGAGTTGAAGCCGTGCACCCATCGCTACGAATGTCTCCATATCGTGAGTTCTACATAACCATATTCTCTGCATATATTATCCTCTTAACTATAAAATATTGTAGTTGTCTATTTTATTTTTGGTTCTAGAGGGAAAAGAAAACAAACAAAAAAATAAAATAAAACAATCCAATGAAATCACTAAAGAAAAGTTCATCCAATGGGAGTGTTTGGTAAATACTCCATACTTGTTAACATATTGAATTAGTGGATTTGACTAGTTGATAGCATTAGTTGATTATAGAAAAGTGTTTGGTAAATTAGTTATTAGTTTATTACATGCAAAATGACTTTTTCAAAAAGCTAATCGAAAAAGCTACTTTGGAGCAATAACTTTGAACATCTTTTTTGAATTTTAACATTTTAGAGCAATAAATTGTTACAAAAACCTAATTAATCACCCGCTTATATTGATTGTTTAACCAAATCAAACAACTAATAGTGGTCAAATAAGTCAAAATTAACTAATAAACTAACTATGTTACTAAACAAGAGCCAATATTATAATTCCATCAATGACGTCCTAACGGAAGCTCTTCCAGAAATTTAGGTGGTTATTCAATATTATAGTTCCCACAAGAGTCAAGACCAATGGGATACTAACACAAGTTTGTAAATTAATTTAAGATTCGGGATGATATTATAATTCCCGCAATGGTATTTTAACCCAAGCAAAGGCAAAAGTAGAATCAACTTGGAAGGGACTCTGCCTTTTCTGCTTCAACCCATCAAACTTGAGTTTTTTGGGCCCTAGCAGTAGACCAGATGTAGTCAAACAGTTAGTTAGCAACCGCCTCTGGGCCCAACCACCATCATCTTTATCCATGGAATTTCTCTAAAATTTTCATTTTTCTATTACAAGGAAGGTCAAGGAAAGGAAAACATAAGCCAAAGGGAAATGTGAATCTTATGTCATTCCAAAGTTTACTTCAATCATTCATTAGCAGCTGTGTCTGAAAGTTACCTTCTCAATGGCATCACTACACAGACAGCTTCCAAGAGAAATTCACACCAAAACTCACCTCTTAAAAACCTCAATCACAGCTGCTATAAACAACAAAGATAAATGTTGATATTTCATCATTTGGCGTTATTCTATCCATCCATTATATCCCCCCCTGTTGACAACCGTTCATTAAAGATAATAAATTCAGCATTCCAAATAGCAGATTCGACAAAATCTCCATATCTTATTTCAATTCTCAGAGTCTGTGCTTTTCTCCTCTTTAGGGGGTGCAAACTGCCTACTGAGCCGAGACTTTGTCCAGGGATCCATGGCTGGTCTTTGTGGTAGCTGTGGAGTGGGTGGTTTTGATTGTCTAAGTTCATTTTCCCTATCAATGAACCTGCCAAGGGGGGGAATGGAGATTTGTCAGATAAATAATAAGATGAAAGCAAGAGACCAAAAATAATGTCCTCACAGTATGGTACAGATTAATAGGAATGCCAAATTATTTAAGAGTATAGCCTTTTCCAAGGCAACTTTTGCTATATATTTTCTTTACATCTTAAATTCAAAATAAACAAAAGCCAACTGGTTCTTGAGCTAAATGCAAATAAGGTAAATATCTCACTCAATATAGGCCATAGGTGCAGCATCACCCACACGTATTCTTGTTCTTAACAACCTAGTGTATCCACCAGCTCTTTCTCTGCAAGTTGAAACATCAAGATGTTATGCAACCACAAAGAACAAACCCAAGCAAATAAACTGAAAATGAATACAATTTAAAGATTCCATATTCACTTGTATCTATAGGCCAGTTCTGTAAATAGTTTGTGAAGAACATCATCCCCACGCACAAAGCCAGCAGCACGCCTTGCAGCACATAGAGTTCCCTGCAAAGGTTTGAGATGGTTTCAGATTCATACAGATACAAATACCTACACCTTGAGTAGTCCTTGAGGTGTTGTTTGGTTGGAGGGACAGACTAAAGGGGATTAGGGAGGATACTGGACAGTGCTGGCACTCCCCTTAATCCCTTCTCCATTTTGATTACTTTGGCCTAGTAAATCCAAGTCAATCTGGATCAGATGGTCCCAGAGGGAACACTGGTATAGCCCAAACCTGGTTAAAGAAAAAATGCCAAATCCAGCGAATACTTATGCCTTACCAAATACAGGACTGTTAACCAACCCTAGGACATCGTCACCTTAATCCATTAAGCCAAGCATTACAGCAATCACACCAATAAATTATAATCCATGACTTATGGTAATCCCAGCATTATTTTACCATCAATCTGTAATCCTCCACAGTTGGATACTTGGATTACAGCCAAACAACCACAAAGGGATCAATGCAGCAATCCCACCCCTAGATAAGATTATGGGTCAGAGTTTAGTTGTTAGAATTACAGTAATACTTTTGGATTTTCCCATGACCAGTAATTCATTGTTTGTTTTTATCCTGTTCCTAGAGATTAGGCCTTTACCAATGGTTCAATGAATTTACTAGGAGCCTGGAGCCTAGGATGGTAATCCAGGAATTATAGTAACAAACTACCTGGGATCATCTAATATCAAAGGACTAAGAGTAATATCGGCCCCAACCCTCCTGATAGCTCCTAAATCCCTCCAACCAAATAACCCTAATTTGCAAAAAGCATAGGAAAAGAACAGGACTAGGAACCAAGAAATGTTCACATCATATATCATATAAAGAAATATATTGCACAAAACACCAAACAACTAACAATATCATACATTATAATGCAACATGACAATAGTCCTATATCAATTGAAATAACTAATTCTATGCCACTATGATAATTGTAGGTTCAGACATTTAGTTCTTGACTTTACAATTGGATAGTGTTGGTCACTCAACTATTGGGAAATGCCAATATTTGTCCAACTGTTAAGTTCTAGGTGAATTTGGATGGAAATTTGCCACATGGAAAATTGACACTAAAGATGAGAGTAGTTTTGTCAATTTTCACAGAATGTCCAAGAAAAATAGAAAATAAGTCCCACTTGCTATAGAGTATTCAAGGATAAAAACAAATTTGAAATGATGCGTAAAGCTTTTAGCTTAATGAATAAAACAAACTATTTCTGGACCAAGCAAACAGAGTCGGTTGGAATGTAATCAATTGAGAGGGAAGTGGAAATATCAAGCTTTATCTTAAGTTGAAGTCTTTCAGCTGTTCAATTATTATCCAACTAGCTTAATGAAAATTAGAAGCATGACTTCCCTCTGTTGCACCATGAATATTGTCAATTTCTCAATAGTAGAGGAACCAACACTGTCCAATTTTATAATTCACAACTAAATTTAGAATTGGCACTATAATCTAGGTCCAAAAGTGAAATTAGTTCTTAATTGAACTTCTAACATGTTAATTAGGAGTTTATCATGTTAATACACGAGGAAAGACCAGTGTGAAATTGCAGCATTTATTTCAACTTCTAACATGCATCACTTTTACAGTTTCATGTCATAATAAAGCAAATAGTTCTAATAAGAATTTTAAAAATCTTGTATTTGAGATGGTATCTGAGATGCTTAGGTGACATCGATCAAAGAGGGTGAAGTTGAACTAAAGAATATTGTTTGAAGCCAGATCCTCAAGTAGACAGGAGAATTAGCCCCCACTCAATGGACTTGGTGCCATACTGCTCAAAAATTACTTAACAAAAATTTTGAGTCACCTGTAAACCAAGATGGCTGCACCTCTGTAAGTTTTGCAAGAACTTAAAGACAAAGAAAGAACCAAAACGAAGGGGAAAAAAAAAACATTCCCCATCAAGAACATGATCTTTTGCCCATAACTAGAGAAGTAGAAGAATGACCATGATGGAAACTCCATTTAAAAACAAAAAACAAAACAAATGTATGCCTCTCAAAGGAACTACTCTATGTTATAGCATATGTTCTTAATAACTAGTGCATTTCCTCACCCTCAATTACGTCTTCCTATATCTGAAGCCATTCAAATACAATAAGATTAAGCAACATAACAAGTGATTATAGATTGGAAGGAACCCCCAAGGACTGCACTTAAAACCATCAAGGAATCAATCACTAGACAGTGCATAGTGGCATACCTCTTTCCCAAGCTGCACCATATTATCAGCAAGCCTACGAACTTCCTTGGCCTACAAAAGGGCACAAGAAAGAAACAATTATAATTACAAAGCTTCCACAAGATGCCAGCAACCCGTTCAGATAACATCCAGAAAGAACAAGAAACGGAAAATTTGCCTATGTTCACACATTTTGATGTGCTTAACTAAGCCTAAGTAATACTCGGTAATAAATTACTAACTGATCACAATAATAAGGTTAGATAATTACTTAATTAAGAGGTCAATCGCTTCAAATTATTTCGAAACGAGCTAACAATGATGATAAAAAACCAATCACAAGTATACCAATTTAACTACATTAAAAAAGTGAAAAGATTAAGCAAAACGAGATTACTTTAGCGACTGTGGTCTCTATACGCTCATGCTTCACCAACTGCGAAACCATCGTCCTGGAAGAGAAAATCCCAACAGTCAAAAATTATTATCCAGGAAAAAAAACACAGACACACACACAAATTGACCAAAAATAAGAAGAGATAATGGTTAATGGAAGAACCTGAGCATGGAAAGTCGATGGCCCGTTGGGCGATTCAGCTTCCTAAGCTTCGTCATTGTGGAGCGCGCGTGAGAGAGAGCGTGTGTGTGAGGATGCAAAACCCTACGAGAGTACGGGGAGAAGGTTTTTGAATTGAATTGAATTGAATTGAATTATTAAGGCAAATTATATTTTTTGTCCAAAATTGCGTCGTTTTGCTTCAAAACAACGCCATCTTTAAAACAAAAATATGCTTCATTTCTTGTCACTTGTCTTCAAAATTCATTTCTCACAATTTTTTAACTCTATATTCACTCACAATTTTAAAATTTTATATTCACAATTTTAGAACTGAATATGCACAATTTTAAATCTCAATATACAAAATTACATAACGAAATATTTACAATTGCAGAACTCTATATTTATAATTTTGGAACTCTATATTCACAGTTTTAGAATTGAATATTCACAATTTTATATCACAATATACAAAATTACAAAACTCAATATTCGCAATTGTAGAACTTTATATTCACGATTTTTGAACTCTATATTCACAATTACAGAACTTTATATTCACAATTTCATAATTCTATATTCACAGTTAAAGAACTCTATATTCACACGCTGAGTTGTTTTCAATAATTTTAAAAAAATAATAAAAAAAATCATTGACTAAGGAAACGGTGCCACAAACGGCACTGTTATTTTCACACGCGCAAACTGCGTCGTTTTAGACCTGGTTTCACCTTGCAAGGTGGACCCGAGTCCATGGCATAACAATTGATTATTCAACTATGTGGACTTGGGCCTTGGGCGGGTATACTCGGATAACTTGTCATCTTGAAAGCCCAATCAAGCTGGACCAAGGTTTATACGGCCTTGGCCCATTTTACATGATGACCCTTTATACAAGCCCAATAGAGAATTATCAAACAAATCACGAAATTAAATTCAGCCCTATTCAGAAAAGGTTTTTTTTTTTTTTTTTTTTTTTTTTTTTTCGTACAAGTCTTTAAACAACACTTTAGGGATGTTGGTTTAAGGTATCTAAAATAATCAAAATGATATCTGCTACGTATAAAATATTAGATTTTCATGTTTTGTTTAGTTAGATTATTTTCTTTTCTCAAAGAAAGTAGAGACAGATTCAGAAATTTTTTCCAGTAAAGGCGAAACATTAAAACAAAAGAGATAATTTTAAAAAAAAATTACCTAAATATATAGTTGTAAATATTGTTGGGTATGGACGAAAAATAAAATACATCAAAACTTTATAAAAATATTCCTAACAAAATATAAAACATAATTAATTTGATAAAATAATTTAAATATAAAACACATTATAAATTACACATTTCATTATTAATATAAAAAAATGTTATATATATATATGAGTGTGTGTGTGTGTGAAATATTAAAAAAGTGACTTTGTTGAAGTTAGGGGAGTCAAAAAAACTGTAAAACTATATTAATGTCAATGATTCAAACCCTTAACCTCTACTACTACCAAATATATGTTCTACCAACTAATCTAACTCATTTCTTGTTAACATTAATAGTTTTTTTATACTAATACTAAATCATGTACTATATATACATATGTACATACAAAGATTATATATAGGGTGGGGGTGGGGTGAGGGGCGGCAGCTGCCCCCTGTCCCCCACCCCCGGGCTCCGTCCTTGTTTTTATCCGTCAATTCGTTTGGATTTCGGTTTTGAATTGTTATATCCAATTCGTTCAATGCAAGCATTAGAATTGTTGGATTTTTTTAACTTTGGATTCGGTTAGATTAATTCGGATTTCGAATAACTTCATGTTGAAAAATAATTAAAAAAATAAAAATAAACTAAAAAACAATGAAAGTATACATCTTGCAAAAATCAAATTAGCTAATTAACTAATTAATTTAAATAAAACTATACACAAAAATATCACAATCTCACAGATTCACAAATCACAATTTCAAAGTTCAGTAGTTCACAACTTCACAGTTTCCAAAATCCAAATTACAAGTTCACAAATTACTTCATTAATCAATCTGCACTCCACTTTCACAAATCAAGACTCAAATCCCCCCTCTTCCTGTTAAGAAGCAAGAAATGTAAATTAGTAAATATGTGAAATAGCACAACTACACACCTAAAATATATGTTGTACTAAATACTAACACTTTACTACAAGTTAAATACATGTGGCTCATATTGCTAATTTTTCATATCAAGGTAGGATTGTGAGCAAATTACTATTTAAGTTTTAAAACAAAATCTAAAATTCATAGCAACATACCAACTCAAAATCCTTTGTTAAGACAAAAGTGGAAACATCATCATAGCGAAAAGAAAAAAATTGAAATGAAGAAGGGAGAGTGATATACCATATCATATTACCATAAAACCTTCACTCAAGATTCAATCAATGAATCAAGGCAAAAGGCTTTAAAACTTACTGAACTGATATTAATATACCTATTTTTACTCAATGATTCATGAAAAAGAATCAAGGGCAGTAACAAATGAATTGTTGCCAAACCATTATCCATTTGTCTCAGTTGTTGCTACTGCTACTCACTTGGCAGTTAGTAATTCTCAAAAGGAGTTAAGGAAATAATTAATATATTCACAGAACTAGAATCTTGGAAAGAAAGTTGAAAAAAATATTACAGCAATGGTTGGTAGGGATGAACTAGTTCTAGCTCTCCTAACTCCAGTTTGCAACTTTGCAAATTAAAAAAACATTTAATTAAAAATAGAAAGTAATTATGTATGAAGGAATTTTTAAAAAAAACGTAAACCGGTAAAAGAAGATTATGAAGAGACAAAAACACCCTTGCTAAAAATAGGAATTTACAAGGAAAATCATCGGAAAGACCAAAAGTGTCCAAAAAATGATAGTTTGGGATGTTAAATGGCACAAACGATAGTCTGTTACTAAAATCGCCCAGCCACCCCCTCGTTGAGACGGTCGACAGCGTTGAACTACCACCGCCGCAACCCTCGCCGGAAAAGTCTTGCCGGAGAGTTCGCCGGAAGACAACTCCGCACCGTAGCCACCTCCAAAAAAATCCTACGATGCCGAAAAAGCCCACCAAGGCTCAAGTCCCGGAGTGGAACAACGCCGACTACACAGTGATTAGAGGTAAAGCACTTGAACCCGACCAATTCTCTCCAGAGTTGGTTGATATGCTTAGATTCCAAGGACTTTTGGATACCTACCTCGCGATAAAAGGGGATACATACCCCGAGTTGGTAAAGGAATTCTATTGCCATTTGGTAGCCACCAAACGCGGGGACAAATTGGAAATCACCTCCAAAGTCCGGGGCAAGGAAATAGTGCTAACCGAGGCCCATGTGACCAAGCTCCTGAAATTAACCACCACGGGTGTGTCAGACTATGACCGAAAGGCATGGGTTAGCACCCGAGATTTGGGGTACGAGGATTATCTCGGTTATTTGTTGGGGAGGGAACGTGGTTTCACTTCGGCCACGAGGCCAATTAAGAAGTTGTTAACCGCTGAGCAAAAACTGCTAGTTATGATTGTGTCCGACAGCTTGTTGCCCACTAACAACAAGAGTAAGGATGTGGGAAGCTTGGAATGCACCTTTGCCTATTTCCTTAAGCTTAAGGTCAAGTTCAATTTACCCGCTCTTATGTTGAATCACATGGAATTATGTAAATCTAGCAACCGGCTCAGTCTACCCTACGGGATGATCCTGAGTTGGATCATGGAATAGAAGGGAGTGGACCTAAGCCGGACTGAAGCCAGACCCATGAGTGGGATGGTTTTCAATGCTCCAAACCTCCGCCGCAACGATATCTACCATGTCGGAGAGGGACAATACATCACCCTAGAGGAAGTTTGCCTGAAACCCTCGAAAGAGCGACGAATGCTAGTGGATCAATTGGATATCTCAAACAAGAAAATGAAACGAGCAATGCAAGAAAGCGAGGAGCAGGAGGAGCAAGAAGAAGAGAGATGTGACACCCCGTAAATCCAAACACTAATCAATGATTAATTGAAGAATTAATCCAAGTCTCCTTGCTAATCTATTCCTAAAAATCCTGAAATTTAATAGTCGAAGGACTAGATTTTGACTAGTCACTTAAGTCAAAGGGTTGTACCTTGTACTTCTTGAATTGTGCCCTTGTTCCATTGTCTTTCCAACATTAGTAAGGGTAGGAATGTCTTTCTACCTAAGAATTGTGATTCAAGCTAACCTAACAAGACTCTTTCATTTCATTCACCCTTCAACCTAAAACACAAAAACCTCTAGCCTCTCTCTAAAATGATTTAGCTTCTTCTCTAAGCTAGAATTTGAGCATCCAAGTCTTGCAAGATTTTCTCCCAAGATTCCTACTTTCTTCATCTTGAGCATAGGGGAGGGTAAGATCCTTGGCTTTTTGGTGTTTTTAACCTTCTTTTAGGTGTCTTTTTCTAAAGTTAGGATCTTTGTTGTGTTTTGTTATGTGTGAGAAGTTGGTGTAGAAGAAGAGCTCTAGGAAAGGCTTTTAAGGGTGATAAGAGGAAGTTGTAAGGCTACAAAGGTAACTCATGCTTTACAAAACCTATTTTCTTACTTATATGATGATTCTTGGCCTCTACTTGTGATTCTTGTGTTTATTTGTGAGATTTGATGCATTGTCTTGTGGTGATGCATGTTTAGAGCTTGTTCTTAGGGTTCTTTAATGTCATTGCTTGGTTATTTCTTGGGTTCAAGTCATATTGTTGTTGTGTGTGAGATTTTGGGTGTTTTGGACTTGAACTTGACATTGTTGTTGAAAATCCCCGAAGGGATATTTTGGAGTACAGGTGGTACCCACGGGCGGAACGGCGGGCAGAGGCCTACCCGCCGCCCCACCCGCGGGGTACAAGGCCTCGTGGGTTTGTGTACCCGCGGGAGGAACCACGGGTGGAGGTCCACCCGTGGCACCACCCGCGGGGAACGTGTATGGTTGATGTCGGGGATTTGTTCCCCGTGATTTTTTCTTCTCGGTATTGATGTTTTGACCTCCCGATGTTGATTTATTGGGCTATTTGTGAGTCTTCTTGATGTTTCGTATGTCTACAACTGTGTATTAAGAATCCATGTAGGATTTGGTGTCTTGAATTGTGCTAAGGGTCCAACTTTGTGATTCGTTGGGCTAATGTGAGTCTTGAACGTTCT